AAACAGTGGCTTATTATGTACCATCAAACTAAAACCATATTCGAGTCTTCAGAAAAAAATAAAATCTGGTTTATGAATGCGGGATATTGTGCTTCTGTATCCAGGATTCAAAACGCCAGGAAATGGCGTTAAATTGTTGCCAGCAGGAGAAAGGATGCCAAACTTTACATAGCAAAGGGGGGCCTAAAGGTTGACAACACCAATGGCAGCAGTCAAGATGGTCTATGGCTGGGGTTCCCAACTTTGAGTATCGCAAGAGTTCTTGGACTGCGACTCCCAGAAACCCTGGGCAGCACATCCAGCGATGAAGGCTTCAGGGAGTTGCAGTCCAAAAATACCTGGGTTACCCAAGGGGTTGGGAGCCACTGCTCTACAGCAGAGGTCATCATCCTCCGGTCAGTGGCCCGGTGCCGGTCCATGGGCTTGCCAGAATTGGGCCACGGATATGGATCTCTGCCCCCGCCCTGCACGTATGCATTCTTGATCAAGGGGCATGTTGCTTAAATTTTATTTCCTGTTTTCTCGTTCTACTGAAGCTTGAGTCAAAATGAGGTAACCTCTGCTTTTAGTTGTGAACAGAGGATGTTAAATAACTGAATGACTATGTGAGTCCATTATGATATGGTGTGCAAATCTAGGAGTAGATTTGTGCAATTCTATGCATATCTATACAGAAGTATGGCCTACTGAATTTAATAGGAGTTTCTTTAAATGTATAAAGGGATCACATTTTTATGTCAGTGATTTAGTGGGAAGAGCTTGTTTATGACAGATTTTTTAAAAAAGCATGACACGCCCCGTCCGCGAGCACAACACGCCCACCACGCGAGCGCTGGGGTGTATCACATTTTTATGTCAGTGATTTAGTGGGTAGAGCTTGTCTATGACAGATTTTAAAAAAAGCATGACACACCCCGTCCGCGAACACAACACGCCCACCACGCGAGCGCAGGGGTGTTTCTTGTTTATGACAGATTTTTTAAAAAAGCATGACACGCCCCGTCCGCGAGCACAACACGCCCACCACGCGAGCGCTGGGGTGTTCCCCCCCATGCATGGAGCTCGCTCCCCCCCAGCTTGTCCGCAGCCTCAAAACTGTTGGGGACCGCTGCTCTACAGGATATTCTCTTATGCTCCCTACGATTCATAGACACCAAACAAAAGAAAATCCCAGAAGTTGACACAATTTTTTTTCATCAGTTAACCACTTTTCACCCAAACACAAAGCAAATTTCAGGGTCATTTCTCTGACAAGTGTGAATGGTAGTGAGCACAAGAAAACAGTACATAGAAGTGCAGGGGGTTTTGGGTTTTGCCGCTGCAGGTTTTCTCAGAAGCAAGTCCAATTGTTTACTGTCGTGCTGTTTCACAGTCCTCCGTCTGCTAATGTTGAACACAGTGGTTTTTGCTTCTGATGAATCTTGATCAAATTCAAAGCACTGCATGTTGCAAAGGGACTTTTTTTTCATATATTAAGAGGCCCTGCTTTCAAATGTATTTCCAGAGATAATATGATGGAGGAGCATGGAGATTTACACAGTAAAGCATGTCATTATGGATCAACAGTCACTAATGAGTCAGGATCGCCATTTTCTAACTTCACAAGATAGTGCTCCACTTTATCATGAGTTGATTATGTGTTCTGTCCCTTGAGGCACCTGCTTTTTGTCTTGGATAAACCTAATTGCTTAAGGACAGAGTTCATTTCAGAAATATGAGAGCCCGCAGCTTAGACAGCTGATACAAAAGTAAGATAGTGGAAAAGTTAGCCTGGAGGGTTTCAAATCTCATTAAAGAGCTTGAGTCATTGGACATAAAGTGTAGATCCTATCGCATACAAAACTAAATAGCAGTAGAGCAAGGCTCATAACTACTTAATTTTATTTTCCCTACATAGTTGTGGGGAGAGCATAGGGGCCTGGGTTCAAAAATGTTTTGGGATGGAGGTTGCTGCCATGACCCCAAAACCAGTAAGCAGTGTCTCCATGCTCTGTATTCCTGAAACATGGGAGAAACAAAGCACTGCATTTCAAACAGAGCTTCGCTTCTTGCCATTTAGCTGAGAGGGGAGATTAAAAGATATGCATCCTGTGCAAAGGCTGCTGGGATGGAAGTTTCCTGTGTCCATTGCAAGCTTGTGTTATGGTGAATGGTCTCCTCACTGACTCAGGACTGTGATGGCAAAGTCCAACAGAAAAAATGGTAAACAACATTATGGCATAGTTCCCTGGTAGATTTGTCATACTATGTAATTCATTTTCAGTGCATGTGAATTATTTAGAATAGAGAGGAGATCTGAGGAAGTGGAATTGTCCATGAAAGCGGACATTAAAATATAGCAGTTAGTCTTTAACATGACACATCTTTTTTCTTTTCTTTTTGCCTGTCAACTGTCCCACCTGTTTATTTGGCATTAATTTCATTGCTCTGTCTTCAGAGGAGCTGATAATTTCTTCAAACTGCATGTTATGTCTAGCCAGCATTAAGCCATGAAAAATTCAGGATGGCTTTCTCGCAGCCAGTGCCTACACTTGTAATTTGAGATACCCTACCTCATTTGAGTAACTCAGAGTTGGTTCTGTTACCTTGCATTTCACCTGGCTTTCAGAAATACTGGTTGCAAAGGGAAAGGGCTGACTACATGGGCATTTAGCCTGCTCTCTGGTCTGCTGCAGGGATGAGGTGATTTGCTCCTAAAGATGGCAGTCAGAAGATGCTTTGCTGGATTGAATCAGCCCTCCCCCAGAGTAGTCCTATCCATATTCTTCTGGCCCGTCAGGGGCTTCTACTTTTTGGTGTCAGTAGGATCTTCCTGTTTCACTTCATTTCCAACACAGACAATCACTGGAAATGAACCAGAAGCGAGCCTTTTTGTTTGAATTGCCAATATTGTGAAGTGCTTAAGAGCCACTTCAGGATATTGGCAAATTAAGAACTTCCTCAGCTCTGTGGAGGGGCCAAGGAAGTGAAAACAAGTTTTTAAAACAAGTACATACACACTGTATCACTTAAACCAGACCTGGGCAAAGTGTGGCCCGAGGGCCACATACAGCCCGCGAGCCGCTCCTGTCTGGCCCATGGACGGTTTTGAACATCAATACCATTTATAGCTTTTTGTCTAAAGTTGATCAGTTGCTTATCTTTAACATACTGCAAAAACACCTCTTTAGTATTTTTGAAGATAAACAAGTTTAAAATAAAAACAATCATAACATCACTGTTTCATTTTATTTTTAAGTAAATTTGGTTCGGCCCCCGAACACAGTTCAGATTTTTCATGTGGCCCCCCTATAGAAATTAATTGACCACCCCTGACTTAAACAAAAAGAAGAAGAAGCTAAATGGAAACTGCTTTCCAGAAGTGGGAGAAAAACAGGAAAAGGCAATGAGGGGGATTTTGCTTGCTTTCCTCAACTAGCTTTCAACCAGATGAAGTCCTCCTCATTACCTCCTCCTGCTTCTACTGTCCTAACCTACTTAAACAATTTTGTTTACCTCCTCAGGTCCTCCACAGAGCTGAGGAAGTGTTTAATTTGCCAACACCCTGAAGTGGCTCTTTTCTTAAACCATTTTACAATATTGGCAAATTGACAGCAAGCTGGTGTGGACCAAATAGGGTTGCCTGAGGTCTGTATGCCATTTGGATAAATTGCACGAAATGACATACTGGACCTCCTAGCAACCCTATTTAGCGCACTCCAGAATATGCGTATAAAGTCCAAAATGAATTGGGTTTTTTTTAAACACGGTACTGCTGGCAACTTGCGGAATTGATTTTGCAGCATTTCCTAAACAAACTCAATGTTACCAGCCAAGGAATTTAAGAACTATTAATCCCTAGGCATAGAGCTGTCAAAGCAACATTAAAGACTTTTACTCCTGCCCTAATGGGAAACAAAAAGGGGATAAGGCTATTCCTGTGATCCACATTTGCTACAGATTTAGTGTCAATATGATTTGGACTTGTGTGGCTGTTTTCAATAGACAGCATTGGCAGGAAGGTGCACTGAGACTGTGGTTGGCCATGACTGCTGTTTGCAATAAAAAGGACATGTGTTAGCAGTCATATCCAATATATGTCTATTCAAAATTAGTTTCCTCTGAGTTGGGGAGCAGGGGGGAATTACTCCCAGGTATGCGTACACATGGGTGCTACCCTTGTTTTCCAGTATTTAGGCAAAGGTTTGAAAACAGATTTTAGAACCTGATTAAAGTGAAGCCCTGTAATGGAATGGTAAGGTCAGTTGAGTGTTGCATCTGTCATACTAAAAACCAGGTAGATTGATCTTTAATAGTATGTAAATGATCAGGTGGCATATTAGTAATCCTGCTAATAGCAATTTACATGTTGGGCTGCAGCTACTGTTAAAATCATGGTGAGAACTGCCACTCAAACAAATTATCACTTTTACCACAGTAGAACACTTAACAATTACATACTAGAGATCTTCATGGTAGAATCTTCTAAATTCCCAACGATGCATATTTGGGATTGGACAACTGCCAATCAAAACTACTAA